CTTACCAAAAGATGCTGACTTTAAAAATTCATCTTTCTTTGAACCTGTACCTGACCCTGGATTTTGTCATAGAATCTCCTTGTTAGTCCAATGCAATAGGAAGTTCTTAAACGTTGGTGTCTGGAAGTGCCATCTGAGGGGCTTGTCCATACTGCAAGTTCCTGGGCAACACACCACTTGCAATTCTGAACGTCCTGGAATAAAACTGAAGAGCTAGGTTACCAATTACGCTACAGGCGATCAGTTGGTGCCCGGTATCTTTCAATCGTTCAGGTTCTTCACCCTCGATAGAAGACCGTGTCACACTCACAGGAGTGTATCTCACTGTCTGGCTGTGACTTTGAGGTCAATCATTTGGACAAAACCTAGTTCAAGTCCAAGTACTTGATGAAAAGGCCAGTTCCCTGGAAGTCTCTCTCACTCTTGCTACTCACCGATGGATGTCTTACAGATTCTCACCATAAAGGGATTTAGTGAGAAATCAAGGTCAAAGGAGGAGAGAAGGAATTTTAGTCATCTGATTTTGTGACTGATTCGCAACTCGAAGAATCTGAGGGTAGAAGACTGGAATGAATGCCTACGATGCTATTTATAGAGGGTGAATTTCACTCGCTCTCATCACCACAAATGATGAAACAGCAGCTGTCAGAAATTACGAAGCAAGACAGCAGAACTCGATAGAAAAACTGGAAGTAATTAATTCATCATCTTCAGGAACACTTCCTTCTCAGAATCCTTCAGGTAACACAATGCACGTCCCCAGACTGCATTTCCTCAAAATATCCTGCCTATTTCCTTACAGGGGGAACAAAAGCAGATTATGATGATCACTTGGCATTTATTAGAAAAAAAGTTTTTGTGGCTGGACCGCTGGTACTTACTGTAAGAAAAACCTACACACGAGTCACAGGATTTCAGGAGGATTCACTCTCCTGTTGGTGGGAGTTCTGAAATGCAGATAGATCATCTTGGTTGTAAACATCTGGGCAGGAATCACAGCCTCACATCAAGAATCTTCTGTCTTATTTTGAAAGCCAGAGTTGGAATCGCTGTGCCGTGAGCAGTAGTGACACGCCATGTTGCATTATTTTTCAGCAATTCCACAAAGCGAACAACCAGGCAGCCACGCGTGTGAGCCTCAAGAAGCTCGACTCTACTTGATTAATGATTGCATTTTGGGGGTAGATGTTTGTTGTAGTATTTTAGGCACAACTTCAGATGCTTGCAAACAATATTTGACCTTCTGGGTTTGAATCCCTGCTTCAGTTACGATTCTAGCTTCCTGCTAATGTGCATCACGCTGTCGTCCAAGAAGTTAGATTGAGTTCCCAGGCTTTGGCCGGGCCCAGTCCTGGCTGCTGAGGACATTTTGGGAGTGGACTAAGGGAGGATTCTGTCTCTTTGCTTTCTCTTTCCTCCCTTTCAAATAAATATACACCATATGAGATGCTGCCACCTTCGCAAACAATGGCTTTATTCGCCAGGCCACCACACCAGCATCCCCCAAAATAGCTTTTTAAAGATTTATTTTTTTATTATTTTTTCATTGGAAAGGCGGATATACAGAGAGGAGAGACAGAGAGGAAGATCTTCCGTCCGATGATTCACGCCCCAAGTGAGCGCAACGGGCCGATACTATGCCGATCCGAAGCCAGGAGCCTCTTCCGGGTCTCCCACGCGGGTGCAGGGTCCCAAAGCTTTGGGCTGTCCTCGACTGCCTTCCCAGGCCACAGGCAGGGAGCTGGAAGGGAAGCGGGGCTGCCGGGATTAGAACCGGCGCCCACATGGGATCCCGGGCGTGCAAGGCGAGGACCTTTAACCACTTGCGCCACCGCGCCGGGCCCCAAAATAGCTTTTTAAAAGATTCGTCTTCGGGGCTAGAGCAATGTTTCCCAAGGCTTATCCTCCGCCTTGCTGTGCCAGCATTCCATATGGATGCAGTTACCAGGCCTGACTGCCCCACTTCAAACCGGTTTCCTGTTTATGGCCTGGGAGAGCAGCAGAGGATGGCTTTACTCCTTGGACTGCTAAACCCACATGGAAGACCAGGGTGGTGTTGGAGGCAGGGGAAACTCCTGGTTCCTGCCTTTGGATCAGCTCAGCTCAGGATACCGCAGTCATTTGCAGGAGTGAGCCAATAGGTCGAAGATCTCTACCTCTCCTCTCTGTAAATCTGCCTTTCATATAAAAACAAAATCTTAAAAAAAAAAAAAAAAGATGAAGTCTTCATCTTCATGCCAAAACTTTTTAGACTCTTCCCCTAAGATCTCTCTCCTCTTATATCCACATCCCTACTCCCAGCGAAATTACAGCTGTTGAAACGTAGAACTAACGAGTGGAAACCCTGGATTCAAGCTATTTCTCTTAGCATCCACTGCTCCGTTAGGACTCTGGGGAGCTTTGACGCAGGTTTGGGTCACGCCCCCCGGGTTCTCTCAAAAACACCTGCTCTGTGGATCCAGGGCCCGGCTCACTTCCCAGCAGGCCTCCCGGGTTGCTGAGCGAATCCCACGAGCCCCAATGCTCAGCCCACACCTGAAGAGGGGGAGTTTTGTGCGTTGCAGTTCTTTAACCAGGTACTTTCCGTTCGCTCTGTTAATAATTAGAAAACAGAAAGAAAAAAGAAGAGGCGGCGCGAGCGCAACTTCTACTTGTCTTCTCCACCTCACCCCGCCCCCACTTCCAAATGAGACGGAAACTATTCAGCCAGGAGGGAAAGCCCCGCATATTTCACCTTGACCTGGCCGGACGGGTCTGACGCCGGCCTGCTCGGTCCAAGAGGTCGGCTAAGCCTCTGGGGGACAATGAGCAGCCAGATTTGGAGGCGGGGTACCCACTGCTGCTCTGGGGGAGAAGCAGGGAAAGGTCCCTTCGGCCTCATTGCCAAGGCGAGGACTGAATTTCCTCCTCGGGGTCTCGTGGGAGCCAAACCTGACCAGAGTAGGGGGGTGGCAACGGGGAAGGGGGCACCGCTCCCCGGACAGCAGCCGAACGGAGCTCCAGGAAGGCACAGAGCCGCCCTTCCACCTCCAGCACCGCCGTCCCTAACTTCTGTTTTCTATGTTCCCTTCACTGGGGAAGGGGACGCCTGAGACCCAAGGACCCATAGTCTTCAGCCAAAGCAGAGACTCATCAGCAACTCTGGGGAGGGCTGCTGGGGATGGCACAGAAGTGGAGGGAAGTTTTCCCAGCCCGGGGCCAAGGCCCCGCGCGCTGAGAGCAAGCAGTGTCGGCCCAGAGCTCCGGGAACAATTCCTTCTGCAGCCTGTCCCAGATCGGCCAGTACCGGACAGTCCTGGGCTAACACGGAGCGCGCTGCAAAGTCTGCAGGCGATGCCGAGCAGGGCGCTCGCTCAGGATCCCGTGAAAGAGAGCTGGGAGGGCGGAAGGATGGGGGGTGGCGCTCAGAGGCCCTGGACTCCGCTCTGCATGCAACAGCTGCGGGGTCGTGAGTACCCGCGAAACAAAGGAACGCGCGGGAAACGCAGAGACAGAGGGCTGCGGGCCGGGCTGCTGGTCCCCTTTGCAGGGCCAGCGCCGAGGAGGGGGCCGGGCGGTGCAAGAGTGCGGGTTGGAGGGAATGGGGACTAAGGAGGGAGAAGGAAGGGTGGTGGCATTCGAGCGAGGCCCGCTGCGCCGCTACATCTCGGGAGCTCTAAGAACGATGGGAATAACAAGTCTCAGAACCCCGGGCCGGGAAGAAGAGAAGAAGCCGAGCGAGCAAAACAAAGAGCGAGTGTGGGCAGTGGTGACTTCATGCCTCACCAATGTCCCGCCCACGCTGCTCAGAGCACTCGCAGCCGCCGCCGCCGCCGGGGCCGCAGAGGCGAGGCTCCGTAGCGTGGGGCGGTCTCCTAGCAACTCGGGCTGGGGAGAGCGCACCCGTCTCCCCGCAGGTTGGGAGCCCCCCGGGACGGGGAGACAACCCCCCTCCCTCTCTCTCTCTCTCTCTCACACACCCCTCTACAGCCGCCCTCCTATCCCCAGCCCGTGGCCGGCCTCGCCTTCCTGGCGCGTCCTGGCCGGGTGCGCCCCCGAGCGCGCCAACTGCCCGAGCTCTGGTCGGTCGGCTGGACGCCCTAGCCGCGCACTGCAGCCAAGGACCCGGGCACGAAGCCCCCGCCCCGCGAGGCTGGCCTCCCGCACCCGCCCCCACTCCCTGCACTCTCCCTGGCAGAACTTCCCCGCCTGCGCTCCCGGCCGTGCGCTTCACTTGCGGCCAGGCAGGGAGCGGCGATGGCTCGAGCGGTGCCTGCGGGCGTCGGCAAGCGCTGCTAGGGCGCTCCAGGAGCCGCCGCCGCCACCGCCTCCCCGGCAACTGGCGCCCCGAGCTTCCTCCCTGACCCTCCGGGACGCCGCTGCCTCGTCGCTGCCCAGGCTAAATTGCCGCGAAGCTCCGGAGCCGTGGCCTTGCTTGCCCACCTGTGGAAGGGGGAGCTGGCGCCGATGGATGCGCCCTGGGCTTTCGCCCCCTCGGGCCTCACTGGCGTCCCCTCCCACTAATGCAACATCACCCAGCGAATGTACTTTAGGGTGGTTTCCCCCCACCCACCCCACCCCCCTCAGCTTCGGGCTTTGTTTGGGTTTGATTGTGTTTGGCTCTTCGCTAAGCTGATTTATGCAGCACAAGCCCCGTCGGCCGGAGAGGAACAAAAGCGCTTTTCTTTGTCCGGGAGCGGGCTGCAGAGCTTCGGCTCGCGTCGGCGCCGCGGGCCAGCAGCAGCGGTCACAGCGGGCGCTTCTCGCCAAGACCGCGGGGCCGGCCGCGCCGAGCCGGGAGGGCCCCAGGGGCCCTGGGATGCCGAGCGGCGCCCCGGCCCGGGTACCTGCACTGCCTGCCGCGAGCCGTGCGGAGCGCCGGCCCGGCCTGCTGGAGGCGTCCTAGCCGGTCCCCGCCGGGGAGCCGCGAGGTGTGCGCCCGGGGAGGCGCGAGCGTGCGTCTCTTCTCCCCCGCGCCAGGAGCTACGGCCAGGAGGCGGCGGGGCGGGCCGCTTTGCATTATGTGCGGCTCGGCACTGGGTCTCTTTCCCGCCGCATTCGTCTGCCTGCGAAGCCGCCGGCCAGGTCCTGCCTCCTTCCTCCGGGCAGTCTGCGTGTTTTCCCTGGTTCTTGGACTGGGCCGAAGTGGTAAGTCGTGTTTCTCGTCTTCTTCTCTTCCGGGCTGACGTCGGGAGTGGGCTGCCTCGGCCGGAGCCTGACCCGGCAGGTAAGGGGCATACGTCAGCCCCACAGCTGCCCGGTGACCGGGAGCAGGGCCTGCCAGGGGTAGGGAGTGCGGCCAGGTCCCCGTTCCGCAGGCGGCATCCGGGCGCGGAGGCCAGGTGTCCAGCGCTTCCGCCCCGCAGGGACAGCGGTGCGCGAGGAGACGCGGCGCGTTTTGCGCCCCCCCAGGTGCGAGGGCAGCGGGAATGGTACTGGGATAGGTGCGCTTACAGAAGCCAGTTTAAGGCCCCGGTGGGCACAGAACGTGCTCCCATCCTTCCAGCCCTTCAGTCCTCTACCTTGCACTTGACCCGAGAATGACTCGTCCGTTTCAACAGAGAACTTTCTTTGCTCGCGGTGCTTAGTTTGAATGGGGCGAATGCATGGAAGCAATGCCCGTTCCCCTTCACCTTCAGAATAGAAAGAACGTAACTCACCCAGCTACTAGATCACTCCCTGAGCTCAGTCTCTAACACCAGGACTGACAGCCCTCACTAAGTTGAGGCCGGTTGCCCAGGGCGGGCTACCTGGATTTGGAGATGTTATCACTGTCTAAACTTGGTTTTCTTTTTTCGCAGAATGGGAATGTTAATATCCCTGCCTTAAGCCACAAAGGCGAGTTCAAGTGGAGTAATTTAGGAAAAAGGTGTTTGGGGGGCATGTGTGTAGCAGAGAGCAAACGTAAGCTAGTCACATTGGCTTGTTAGCAAATCAATAAACAACACCTAGCCACCCGTTTACAGGCATTCTTAGTAGATTTGCCATGCAGGCAAAATGCTTGTTTTTAGCAGTGTAGTGACTTTTGAAGAAAGCATTCACTTTTTCTCTGTTGGGTCACTGAGTCTTTATGTTCTATTGGAACCCCTTCTGGTTCAAGGACCGTCCAGTGGTCACGTGTGCTTGTTCCGTAGAAAGAGTGTCCCCAGCTTCTGCCTGCAGCTACTTAGAACAGTCAGATCAGGACATAGAAATAAAGGTGTGCAATACAAACATCCGAGTAGCTTCTTTTAGTTATTGCCTATGGAGCCACCTGATATTTGTGTCAGTGATCTGTAAGGGAGACCATTATCCTGGGGCTGCTTTCTGCTTCACATATTGATTTCAAAACAAGTGAAACTTAAGGCTTAGGAAACACTAACGTTCGTGATCAACTGTCTCTTAAAAGGAACGCGCGTTTGTTTCAGCAGATTTTTCCACTCTATAATTCCATCCTGTGGCCATATGCAATGAAATTCTCTAGATTTGGCCAGCACACACACTAGTGAAATAACCAAAACTTGTTCCACAGAGTGTCTTTTGTCCCCGATAGTTACCGAGGCAAGTTCTCTTTATCCCTAGAATGTGCTAATAATGGTTAAGCAAATAAATAAATAAGTCCCTGTGCTTCTAAAGACTAGTTAAGTTCTCGTGTGATTGCCTTAGAGTTCCCTGGAGAGACCATAATAAACATGATGAATGGGGAAATAGGATGAATAGGTCTTCTTGCACCTGCAGACCTAGAATGGAAGACTTCTTTGAAATCACAACACAGCCTCCTTTTCCCAGTCCATGCGCATGTACAAAGGTTTCTGATATGTAGCGATTTGCATGGTAGTTAGAAACATGCCAAAAATTTAAATTATAGCCAGTACAACTCAGAAAATTAGAGATCAGCGTAAACTGTTGTACTTTCGTGACAGAGCTACAAGTCTGAAATTGTAGGTCTTCACAGTGCAAATTAGATGCTTAAAGCAGAATAGAAATTTAGGTATCAGTTACAAAGGAAATCTTGTTCCCATGCTCAGTAGTTTACACCAAGAAAATGTTGAGGGCATTAAAGCCACACAAAAGAGATCGTGAGCTACATGAGAACAATGTCACTTTGGGTTTAAGTTTTAAAGTAGAATTTATAAGGCTTCAAAACATGGTGTAGATTTAGTGATGGACATATAATGAACAGAGAGGTATTCTTTGTAAAGTGCAAATATCTCTGATAGAGAAAAAAAATCGTGTTTTATTTCCCTGGTGGAAATTATCAGCAGAGAAACAAGAACATTGTAAGCTGGTTAATGAGTAATACAAATAAATAAATAGTGAAGAGTAAATTGTGGCAAATCTGTCGCTGTGACTTTTGCTTATTCCAAAGGGTTCAACAAGAACTTTTGTTGCTTCAAGTTTTATGTAACTGTATGCCTGGCAAGTTTCAGAAATCACCATTTCTTTTTCAAACATGGCAAAAGTTATTGTCCATGCCAACCTCACCTTCTGTTTATTCAAAGCTCTCAACTATGCATTCCTTCAACTAGGAATCAACTCGATTAGCATGCCTTAGTGACTGCAGTGTACTCAGAACGTATTTCACGTGTAAATGTTCTCAGGATTATTGATGTTTACTGAAAGTGGTCAGATATTTAAGAAAGCTAAGGCTTCATTTAAACAGCCTGTCTTCCACATTACTTGCATAACAAGCACCCAAATTAATTGTGTCAGAAAGTCACGGAAACAACTGCTGATCATCTATGCTTGCTGTGTATGTGAAAGTGAAGTAGCTGGTATGGTTTGAAAAGTAACAAAAAAACTTCTGTGTACCACCCCAAATAGCCCCTTCTCTTGTTACCAATATCTAACATTTACCACTTAAAGAAATTTGGGGGAACAAGCATACTATTGATGCTGTTTCTTTTAATATTTAATATTATGTCATGGCAAATTCCAGTCATATACAGAAGCAGAGAAAATGATATATCCATCACCTGGCTTCATTAATCATTACATCAAAACCAAATTCCTTCATCTCTGTTTCCACTCCCACCCAGGTCATCATTTCCCCCAACTAAATTATTTTGAAGCAAGCCTCTCCTATTGCTTTATCCCAAAATATCTTTAATAAATTAAAGTACCCCGGAGCAGAAAAAATTAATTCCCAGAGCATGAATTTTGGAATCCAAGAGTGTTTCAAGGGAAGACTTGTAGAAGAGAAGGAGGCAAAGAAAGAGTCATTTCCTTAGCCATTTGCTGCTAAGTGGAATAGTGGGCCTATTCCATTAAAATCTTTTATGTTTAAAAGTGTCTCTAACAGCTGTTTTGATATCCATGGCTATGAAGAACTAAAGCAAAAAAAGAGAGGATAAATTCCCCAGACACATATTAATTACTCTATCCTAATGGAATCTCAACAGGTGTACCTGGGAAGGTTTTAAGGACTACCACTTATCTTTCTTTTGTTACCAGTTGTTCTCCTCTGCTAGATCATTTGAAGTAGGTGTCCATATATGGTGTAATACCGGTAGCTCTCCTGGCTTTCACTCTCCTTTTGTTCTAAGTTCTTGAAAGAGTTCCCCCTATGTCTATTTCTACCTCCCAAAGTAGGAAAGTCCTGGGACTCATTCATTGGAATTTTCTGTGGATGGTGAGTGTTCAAGTGGGCTGATCCAGTCTTGGGTCTTAAATATCATTTCTAAGCTCATAGCTCCCAGATGTATATCTCTGGTGCTCGATGCCAGAAGAGCACAGCAAACTGCCCAACCTAACAACTTAACTCTGGGCATGAATCAGTTCTGATTCAATCAAAACCCAACTCCCAATTTTCTCTCCCAAGACTGCTCCTTAGCATCCCCATATATGGCATGTCAGTGTCCCAGCACTTCAGGCTGACACTTTGTGGGCATCTTTCCTTCTTTGCCCCCACATTTCAAGATCAGCTCGCCACATTCTCCATGGCCACTTTGGTACCGTACCACCGGCTTTGGCTCAGCCTTTCAAATGCCTCCCTCCTTCACAGTGCAGCTGGATTCAGCTTCTCAAAGCGTGCACCAGAAGCTGTCACTCCTCCTCTCAGAACTGACCTTGGCCTTTCATTAGTATTCAGTTGAAGGCCAAGTCCGTGGCATCCAAGATTCTACAGAAACCACCTCTGTTGATGATTTGGCCTCATCTTTTTCCCTTCTTTCCCTCTCTCACTTTGTTCTGGCAGCACTGGTCCTTGCTGAACTTCAGACACAGTCCTGCCTCCAACCTGCCTCTTCTCTCCCTGTGTCAGGAGCGCCATTTCCTGGGATGGCTTGCTGACTCCTCTTTTGCTTCCCCCAAACATCTACTTCCGTGCTCCCAACAGCCCATATTCCTACCAAAATCCGATTTCTTGAACTCTAGCATGAGTGTCAAAGGGTGTTGTTTTGATTAAAAAAAATTTTTTTTTACCATATACAACCTGAATTTAGGTAGATACCCCATTTCCTTGAGTTGTACCCCCCTTCAAAGTACCTATTATCCCAAATCCTCAGTTCTTTAAATGACATCCTTTCTGCTAGCTTGACAAGCCTTGTATAAAAGTCATATGATTTGTCATTTTCCTGAATGGTATTTTGCCAGACTGACACAAGGAAGTAGTCTTGTTATTATAAACTCATTAAACAGGCCTGCAATCTTCATCCACTCTTGCATTGTATTCACTCATTCCCCCTCAACTCCAACCTCCAACCTCTGATGCAGCCAGATCTACACTGTGAAAGCAATTTTGCCAGCAGGAAGATCATGAGGTACCCTGTAGTTCATACGTTGTCCAATCGCATATAAAATATATTCTGGAAGCTATATAGTGATTACAAAATAAAATAACCTGTAGGGAATAACAACTTTTTGCTAATTCATGTTGCATTTTATGTTTAAAAGATTTATTTATTTTACTTGAAAGAATTATAGGGAGAGCCAGAACAGAGACAAAGAGAGATCTCCCATCTACTGTTTCACCCAAAATGGCTACCTACTATAGCCACAGCTGGGCTGATCCACCAGGAGCTTCAACATGAGTGTGGGAGCTCAAGGTTTTAGGCCATCCTCTGCTGCTTTCTCAGGCCATTAGAAGAGAACTGAATCCGAAGTGAGGCAGCAAGGGCATAATTGGCATCCATATGGGATGCTGGCACCTTGGGTGGAGTATTGGCCTA